AGAATGTTAACTCTGATTTTTTCTTCACAGATGCTGCCAGACCTGCTGAGCTTCCAGCAACTTCTGTTTTTCTTCCTGATTTACAGCATCTGCAGTTCATTCAGTTTTGATTCTGGTACAATTGTGTCTAAGGTTATTATGGGAGCCTAGCAGAGGTACTTATCCAATGTTAATTCAAGATTTTCACAAGATCTGCAAATGGGAATAAATGTTAAAATTAAAATGGAATAATTCCAAGTTCAAAGTGAAACCTAAAATAAAACCTTAACACAGCTGTAGGAATTTTAACACAAATTGGGAAAAGTATAGTAATCACTTGCGATATGAAAATGTTCCATTTATGACTATAGTAAACCATTAGCTATAATTGAGTTGACACCTTTTGCAAAGATGAACTCTGAATATTTAATGCTTTCAAAGTATAATTTTATACTTTATTTTCAATTGTTGATTTACCCTACCAACAGCACTCTTCAATAAAATGTGAAAAATTGATGCAGAATGAAGGACAATTGTTAATGAATGTAGAACATCAATATTATTTTATATTAATCTACAAACTCTGCAAAGTCAGAAGATAAACATCATTAGTAAAATTATGAATTTGTCTTGCAAACAGAGACAGTTTGTTTTTGTTTCATTCGCAGGATGTGGACTTTACCACTAGGTAAGCATTTTTGTCTATCTCTAACTGCTCTCATAAGGTGGCAGTGATCTGACTTCTTGAATTATTGCAATCATTTGGTGTAAGCACAGCAACAATGCTACTAGGGAGGGAGTTCCAGGACTTTTGACCCAGTGACATGAAAAAGTGGAGATATGGTTTCAAGTCAGGATGCTGTGTGTCTGGAGAAAACTTGAGATGCTGGTGTTCCCATGTATCTTCCGCCCTTGTACTTATGAGGATAGAGGTCAGGGTGTTGAAAGAGCTGTTGCAGGAACCTTGGAGGTTTTCTGCAGTACATCTCTTGATGGTACACACTGCAATTTTCTAAACTGTGTTGAACTTCATAAGTATTGGTATAAGGACTTCCAGAAGGCTTTTGATAAAGTCTAACACAGAAGATTGTTAGCTAAGTTGGAAGCCTATGGAATTGAGGGCAGCTACTGGCACGGATGGGAAATTAGCTGAATGGCAGGAAACTGAGAATTGGAATAATGGGAAAGTACTCAACCTGGCAACATGACTAATGATGTCCTGCAGGGATTTATGTTAGGGCCTCAATTATTCAAATTTTCAAATTTGCTGATGACACAAAATTGGGCAGCATTGTAGACAGTGTTAACAACAGCATAAAGTTACAACAGGATATTGATAGATAAGGTGAATGGACAAAGCTGTGGCAGATGGATTTTAATATGAGCAAGTGTGAGGTTATCCATTTCGGATTGAAAAAGAATAAATCAAGATTTTTTTAGGAGACACAAAGTTAAATACAGTTGATGCCCATTAAGATTTGGGGGATCAGGTGCATTGCTCTTTAAAATGCAGTGAACAGGTGCAGAAAATGGTCAAGAAAGCTGATGGAATGCTGGCGTTCATATATAAAGGGCTGGAGTGTAGGGAATAGACATTATGCTGCAGTTGTACAAAACCCTAGTTCGACCTCAGATCTGGGCAACACACCTTAGGAAGGATGTCCTGGAGGAAAACATAGAAACAAAGAAAATAGATGCAGGAATAGGCCATTCAGCCCTTCAAGCCCGCACCACTATTCAATATGATCAAAGCTGATCATGCAATTTCAGTATCCTATTCCTGCTTTCTCTCCATAGCTCTTGATCTCTTTAGCTCCCTTCTGAATATATCTAATAAACTGGCCCCAAAAGCTTTCTAGAGTAGAGAATTCAACAGGTTCACAACTCTCTGAGTAAGAAATTCTCCCTTATCTCAGTCCTGGATGGCTTATCCCTCATTTAGGGAGTTTAACATAGGTTTGTAAGGTTGATACCTGGACTTCTGACATTAAGTTATGAGGAGAAATTAGACAAATCAGGCCTTTATTTTCTAGAATTTAGAAGGATAAGGAGTGATCTAATTGAGGTCTTCAGAATATTAACTGGTAAAAGCATGGTTGATAAAGATAATCTATTTCCACTGGTTGAAGATTCTAGAACCAACGGGCATAGTCTAAGAATTAGGGCCAGGCCATTCAGGTGAGATATTGGAAAGTTCTTCTACATGGAAAGAGTACCAGAGGTTTCGATCTCTCATTCTCAAACAGTGGTTGATGTGAATGCAATTGTTAAATTTGAATCTGAGATAGACAAGCAACAATATCAAAGGATATGGCTCCAAGGCAGGCATATGGAGTTAGGCCATAGATCAGTCATTAACTTATTGATTGGCACAGCAGGCTTGAGGGGCTGAATGGTCTATTCTTGTTCCTATGTTGAAGCTACACTCATCCAGGCAAGTGGGGAGTATTCCATCAGAAATATTATAAATCATCAGTTGTAGCACCAAAAGATTTCAGGCTGCAACATTGATGTCACCTGTTTTAGTCACAGCTGAACAGAACAGATATAGCAAGCATTGTCAGAGGATGACCAACTGCATCAGGTCAAGAAGATCATCATCAGCAGGTGGCCCGAACAAATCCAACAAGACCGCAAGTTTGTATGTCCATTCTGATCATTCAGAGATGAATAGTACTCTTAAAGAATGTAATCTTCAAAGGCAAACATGTCATAATTTTGCAAGCTCTTCAGCAAGACATGATACACCTTATACAAATAAATCACATGGGTACAGAAAACAAAACAAGAAATTGGTACATTATTCCATATATTGGCTGATCATTAATTATGACATTGATCAACTGATCAAAACATGTGAAACATGTCAATTCTATCAAACTCAACAATTGAGAGAACCTGTCCTTCGCCACATGATTCCTTTGGAGCCGTGGTGCAAAATTGAGACAGTTGTTTTCCATGGACATGACTGCATTCTGGTGACCAAATATTTGACTAAATTCCCTTTTGTGCAACAAATCAGAGATACCACTAAGACAATAATCCTTGACCATTGATTGTCCTATTCAGTATGGTGTACCTCAACAAATTTCTGTCTGACAATGGAATGCAGTGAACTCGCGTACCACTTCAAGATGCAAGTACTGTGTTGATCAACATATCACCTCCTCTCCTCACTTCTGTTACTCAATCTGTCTTGCAGACTACACTGTTTACACTGTAAGATGCATGATAATTTAATATAAAGTGAGTTGCCAAGGTTTTCCGACAGCTATGTTAATCTATATGTCGTTTGTATAGGCAACGGTCTACGCTTACCAGTAGCTCCCACATTTGGAAGATAGATCCACACAGTTTTTCCTTCCCACACTCTCACCACAAAACCCCATGTATGTGCTGCATTGTTGGAAAGAAGGCAGAGCATGCTCAGTGTACATGCATAAATTTAGCGCAACTTGAATCAGGACAATCCACACAAATATAACATTTTCATACAAACACATAAGTTCGAGATGAGTTACTGTATCATTATGTCCAGCCTATATTTTATGATATTGTAATGAACACTGGACATGTCGTCTAAAGAAATAGACTTTATACCCCAACTAATCACATCAACCACTCGTCCAACAGAATGATGATGAGGATACTGATGGTATCATGTCACACAACAATCGTACACCAACAACAAATGATGCACATCCATCCATGATGGCAGATCGGCCACAGGGTGGAGCTACACCACCAAATCTTGACAAATGCATAATAACTAGATATGGTCACGACTACATCGGCCAAGTTGTTATACAAATTTATAGACGCAGTGGGCTGAATCTTACATTATTTTGGCTAACTGTCAGTTGTGTTGAGTTTCTTGTGAAATGTTTTGCTGTGAAGCCAAGTGAGATTTCTCACCATACCTTATCATACCCACCTCATTGACTACCCACTGTGCCCAATGTCATCCCTTGCAGAAGACTGGGACTGCTCCTGTGGTGTTGCTGAGACACCCTGCCAACCAAGTACCACTCTTCATTCCACTGCAAATTTCACAGTAACGCTACTATCATGTGCCATTCATTGCAAACCATTTCTAACTATTGACCAGTGGGGTGTCCATGACCTCTGTGGAGGAACGACAGGCTCCCCAGAAGCCAACTCCTTGATCTTTGAGGATAGAAGTATTGAGGCCTCAGAGGAAGCATTGGCAAGGCGTTTGAAAGTTTAGGAGAAGAATCTAGTCAGCATCTCTGATAATGCTGGAGCTGGCCTGGAGAAGTGCCTTTTTTAAAAATTTTCTCATGGGTTGTGGGCATCACTGTTGGCATGGCCAGCATTTATTGCCCATCCCTGGTTGCCTTTTAGGAGATGGTAGTGAGCTGCCTTCTTAAACTGCTTCAATTAACATGCTGTAGGTTGAACCACAATGCCTTGAGGGAGGGAATTCCATAATGATCCTGAGAGGGTTGGCCAATCTCGGATGTGGATGAAGGCCATGTGTGTCTGGTGCTCATGGATCATGCTCTGAGATGCTGTTTGGTGCTCAGCCACATGGTGGGGGGGGCGGGATTTGCAGTCAGCAGCAAGCTGAAATGAGAGGTACTTACTCTGAATTCCGTGTTTACGATTCCCAATGTCCCAATTAGGTAAGATAGGAAGGTTCATATTAAGAAATGAGATGTGCATTTAAGCTCTAATTCCTTTTAATTGACAACTCACCACTGCCTAGGGAGAAGCTCACCCTGAGGCCTGGCAGATGTTTAAAAGATGCAGTGTGTTGCTGTTAATATTGAGCTAGGCCTCACTGGACCTCCTGTGCCATACTGCCACAAATCTCTGCATAGACCAAATCATTCCGATCCCTATAAAACTCAACCCAATCTATCTAATGTATCCTTGTAGTGTTATTAGATAAGAGGGATGTTCTGTTAAGGCATAGATTCTAGACCAGACAAGCCTGCACCTTTGAAACAGTTACATGACATCATGACTTGCAACACTTTAATAAAAAGGTATATCTTTAGTGTGTGTTTATACCTACATCTATGTATTTAGGTTCCAGACAGAGAGATCAAAGAGATGGCAATGTCAAAAACTCTTCAGAATTGGCTTCTTAATAACACTATTTTTTTGCATTTCAATACTAAAAACTATGATACACAGTAATCAGATATATGCCAATCTAAGTTTACTGCTAAAATATTGCTATACAATTCCATTAGCTATACTGTTCAATACTAATAATTTTACTCCTCATATTTCTTAACATATTTCTATACTCTCTCATGCATGCTTTAACTAACAATCTCACCATGCATTCACTGTGTTATCCAACTAAGTCCTTCCACACTGCTTTATTTATGTACAGTTGGGAGTAGCTCCATGACATCATCACAAAGTTGTTCAAGAGTCCTAAAGCCCTTACACAAGAGCCTCATCCTCAGTTATTTCCTCTATATCATGGAGCCAGTGTAGTCAGTCAGTTATGTATATATAATAAAGAGTAACATTAGTTATTACCTAATCTAGACTCTGTGTAAGCCTGTGATGTTGTGGCTATTTAAATAGCTAGTGTTGTAAATAAACCCTAAGAGACCTGACTCAAGAAGAGCTCAATCTTTGTGATTTATGTTACATAAGCTAACATATGGAAAACCAGAAAATCCATCATTGCCCGAAACAGATTAAATCTGAGTTTGCCAGCCACACTAAAAAATACCTAATGCACAGCCTGCCTTTGAGTTCCCAATTTTTAGACATTAACATCTTATTTCATTCTAATTTAAAATTCACTCCAACTTTCTGGAAATTCCAATGATCCTGAGCATTACTTAGTGCTCATTTGTGGTTTTATGACTGTCATAGCTTCAAAGACTTCATGTAAAATATCACCTGTGAGGAGTGGATCATTATGTTGAAGTCAGACAAGGTCAGAAGGCCACAAATTTTCTTTTCAAGTTGTAAAGGTGAAAGAATTAATTGTACCGAAATTAAAACTAGCATTCTCATTTTACTTCAATTATTTACTTTAAATCAATTTTACAGAATTTTTTTTGATTTCATTCCATTTTCTCCACAGTTAACATTCAGGGATTTCTTCTGCTATCTGTATCTTCACATCTAATTGCCAATCTATATTAGATCCTGGTTAAGCAACACATTGATTTTTTTTATTGGTATTATTCATTGCCTAATCCCTCCATTTCCAAATCTGTATAAACTCTTCCAGTCCTCTAAGAACGCTATGTTCCTTCAATTCTGGCCACTGCTGCATCCACAATAACTTTTGTCACATCGTTGATGCTGATGCCTTCGGCTGACTAAAGTATGATTTCCAGAATTTTCCCTTTAAATCTCTCCTGTCTGGCTCTCTCTTTTCCTTTTTGACACTTTTTAAAACCCAAATTTTAGATCAAACCTTTGGTCATCTCTCTTGATGTATCCTTTTGTGGCTGAGAATCCAGAGATACTGCAGATATTTCAAATTATAAGTCATGACATAAAATAGAAGTTTCAAGTAAAATTATTTATTGCTAAGAAAGGATGCATTTTATCAAATCTTTTTGTCTTGCACTCATCAGGACATTTGCGAGAATAGCAATGTAAAGGACAAGAAGGCCACACAAGTAGATAGAGTGGTAAACGAGGCATATGGCATGCTTGTCTTTATTGGTCGGGGTATTGAGTATAAGAGTCAGGATATTACATTGCAGCCTTATAAGACTTTGGGTTAGGCCGCACTTAAAATATTGTATTCAATTCTGGTCACCATGTTACAGGAAGGATGTGGAGGCTACGGAGGGGGTGTAGAAGAGGTTTACCAGTATGCCTGGACAGAGTGGATGTTGGGAAGATGTTTCCATTGGTAGGAGAGACTAGGACCCGAGAGCACAGCCTTAGAGTAAAAGGAAGACCTTTTAGATTGGAGATAAGGAGAAACTTCTTCAGCCAGAGAGTGGTGAATCTATGGAATTCACTGCCACAGAGGGCTGTGGAGGCCAGGTCATCGAGTATATTTAAGACGGAGATCAATAGGTTCTTGATTGTCAAGGGGATCAAGGGCTACGGGGAGAAAGTGGGAGAATGGGGTTGAGGAACTTATCAGCCATGATTAAATGGCAGAGCAGAATCAATGGGCTGAATGTCCTAATTTTTGCTCCTATATCTTATGGCCTTATAGGATACAACAACAGCAGAATCACTGGGCAACAACAACCAATCAGAGAGGGATGTACCTTCAGAACAACAGGAGTCTCTGGAAGCCTGGGAGATATACCAGAAGAGGTTCCTGAGATGAGGAAACAGTCTTTTAGGAATCACTATGCTCCTGAGAGACTGATCGTGTCAATGTAGCCAACGGATGGAAAGCCTTGTGTAGGGGGAGTGGTAGTTTTTCATGTTGTTGTAAATATTCCTGACTACGTACATATGTTGGCTATAATGCCTGTATAATCCTTTTAATGATTATATACATGTTGATTAATGGGATATGTTTAAAATAAAGGGGGAGGGGTGCTATGTATGTAGTTGGTGTGCTGCCCCTTTAAAAGAACTGATCAGGTGACTCGCAAGGTTGGGGGGGGGATGTGTGTGGGGAGGTTGGGGGTCTCAGTATAGAGCTAATGTGTGCATCTAAAATAAAATGTTCCTGTTCAAAGTTTTATCTGTGCCTCCTTTGTGTATAATTCCTGGTTCCCTATGAAAGCTTTGACAAAATGTGTGTTTGTGCAGCAATAATCACATCTGTACTTCCAAACGACTATTCAAAATTAATTAACTGTACCTTGATTCATCTCTGTAAGCAAAAATAATGATCTACATCTGAGAAACAAAATCCATATAGAACTAATATATTCTTGCATCAAAACAAAATTTTTGACTTTGAAAATATTCACTCCTCTTTATTAAAAGCAGTAAGATTTTACTCAATTTCACTTAGCAACTTTCTAGCCCAACTCTAAGCTAACTGGAACTAGGAAAGTATTGGTTAACAATATCAGGGTGTTCTGAAAATTCAGGAAAAGAAACAGAATTGATCTGAGACTAGAGTAACTTCACAGAGAAGATTTAGCTTTGTTGCAGCTTTGGATATTCCTATGGACAAGCAAACACTCTCAGTTTGGGTTTAAAATTACCAGCAGGGGAAGCAATTAGTGCCATAGTGACCTGGAGAGTTTGTCAAAACGGTCACTTAATGCCATCTGAGGTCTGCAGCCCTAATTATTCATCAGGGGAAAGATCTCTCACAAACGAAAAAGTGCATACAGCAGGATAAGCCAGGGGTCCGAATCTGATCAATTCTGATGAAAAGTCATTGACATCAGCTACATTAAGAATAATAGTTAGGGTAATGGCACAGCCAGCAGCATGACAGAAAAAAATCTGACAGCTATTCCTGTCTGCATACAAAAATCCGTAAGTACCCAGCAAAAGAAAATTGTGTTGGAATTTTTCTTTCAAAAAAACATCAAATTAATCGCTTGAATCTTACAGGGATCTGAGTGAAGTGGATAATAGTAAGATTTGTGGCAGAATCACATGAGCCATTTGTTGAATCATCTCAGTGTCGGGAGAACTCATTGCAACCTTTATGCTCTTCACAAGTGACATGGTTAAGTTTCTCATTAGGAAATGGTGAGCTGCCAATTAAGGAAGATTATAGCTTGTTAATTGCCTTATTAATGGCTGAACTAGCTTCCTTAATATTCAGCTTCCTATCTGACCAAATGCATCACACTAGATATTGAGAAATCTCAACATGGAGTTCAACCTGGTGGATTCAGTTGACTGCTCCAAAGGACCTCCATGTTGGACATCAAAGACATTGTGCTTAGGATCACATTTCCAGCTCATGGACTGGACCAGGTTGCATCTCCAGGCTCTTTGCTCACTCTCTCTATGTTTACCTAGATGCTTACATCATCCTTGCCTTGTCTAGCCTTAATGCACTTTGCCCCTCTGTCAGAGCTACCAGGCTCATATTATTTCCATAAAAGCAAAATACAGCAAATGCGTCAGTTCTGAACAAGAGTCATATTGGACTAAAACATTAATTCTGTTTCTCTCCACACAAGTGCTACCAGACCTGCTGAGTTTCTCCAGCAGTTCTGTGTTTGTGTCATATTACTTCTGTCTTGAGTTGCCTTTTAGTGCAGACCCAAAGGCAGGAAGCTTGTTAGAGTTGTCTTAGGCCTTAGGCAAGTCAAAAAAGATAGCCTTTGGTTGGGGTTTCTCACTCAGTAAGTCAAGGGCAGTCTTTGATACTGATCCAGTCAATCAGCCAATCAGGGAGTCAGAGTCAGAATGCTCTCCACTTACAAATGAAGGAGCTGAATATCAGGCAGCCTACAACCTGTCTTGACTCTTTCTGCCCCAAAGGGGGCTGTTTTCTCCTGGAATGAGAAAGGTGGAAACGTTACAGGAGATGAAAGTGAGTGGCACAGCTCTTACTTCTGTGCAGTTGGAGTGGTGTTCCTAGTGAACGAGTAGGCAGCACAGATGATGTGTAAGGTATCAGGGATATGGTGAGCAAGAGTGAGTGAGGAAGATGTTGCAGGCAATAATGAGAGGGTTGAGCATGGGTGTTGTTGGGAGGTGGGTACAGTAGCACAGATAGAGTGAGTGTGAGGTATTGGAGAGAAGATGGTGGCACTTACACTGGTGGAATGGAGAAGGACATTGACCTTCTTCTGGGAATTCCTCCAGTTGGCAAAAACTGCTTGCGTGGCTGGTGGGGAAGAGAAATGGGAGGTTTGAGTGGCCAACTCAGACCAGGCTGGAAAGGTCGAGTGTCATGGCCTCCACTGAGAAGAGGACGTCTCACCTCTGTACCAACTTGTCCACCAAGGCCTACAGGACCCTGCCTGCAAAGCAAGGTGCTGATTTCTCCCCTGTTTGTTATGTCTGGTGCAAATGTCTGGAGCTGTGCAGGACATCATCAATATGTTCACAGAAGCATATGAGAGCCTTAGGTTAAACATCTGGAAGACAAAATTCCTCTCCCAGCCTGGTCCCGCTATGCAACACTGCCCCTGTCTATCATGATCTTCAGTGAGCCTGGATAAAGTGGATCAACTCCCAGACCTTGGGTGCTACCTCCCAGTGGCAGCAGACAGTGTTAATGAAGTTGAACATTGCCTCCAGTGTGCTAATGCAACCTTTGACCACCTGAAGAAAAGACTGCTAGTTGACAAAGTCCTCAATATCAGCAACAAGCTTATGGTTTACAGGGCAATGGTGTTAGCTTCCTTTCTTTATGCATCAGAGCTATGGACAATGTACAGCAGAAATCTCAAGTCCCCAGAAAAACATTACTGCTTATGCCTCTGCATATCCTTTTGGCAGAATGAGTGCTCCAATATCAGTGTTGGCTCTCAGGCCAATATTTCCAGTATTGAAGGACTGATTAATGCCAATCAGCTGAGTTTGTGAGTTAGATTGTCCACATGCCTGGCATAAGATTTCCAAAAACAGCTCTCTACTTCAAGCTCCATCATGGCAATCAGCTACCAGGAGGGCAGAGGAAATACTTCAAGGATGTCTTCAAAGCATCCCTGAAAGAACTCAATATCCTCACCGACTCAAGGGAATCTCTTGCTCAAGCCCACCTAAACTGGAGAAGAAGCATTGGCAAAGGTGTCAAAATTGGCCAACCATCTCATTTGTTTTTGAGAGGCCAAGGTGGAAGTCAAGCACAAACCATGAAGGGGTGTGTCCAAAAACCTGAGCATCCCACTTACTTGCCTCTTCAAACAGGACTTTCCCCACCTGGGGCAATGTGTATGGATGCAGCACTTGACTGTGTCACCACCTCAGGACTCACAACACTGCAGTAAAAGAAAGTCATCCTCAGTACCAAGGGACTGCCTAAAGAGACAATATTCCAGTTCCTAACAATTCTTGTGTTCAAAAGCATTTATTTATGTCACCCCAGCTCTTTTGTCAAACACCCCAAATCCATTCTCTGCCTGTCAATGTTTCAATAATTCTCAATAAACCCTTCAAGATGTTAAATGTACCCTTCAATTCTAGCTTCTTAGCCTTCTCATTTGTAACAAGAACAGCCCCAGCTTTTCCAGGCTGTTCAAATAACTGTGGTCCATTGTCCTTGGAACCATCCCAGCGTATCTCATCTTTCCTTTCTGCAAAGTTTTCTTCAAGATTTACCACTGTGCAGTTAACAATGTTAATTGCAAACACTGGACTCCATTTGAACATGGACCTCCAGAACAGTCTGGTGTGACTCACATTGTTATGTTATCATTTCCCCAGTGAAAATCATTTTTTTAGGTTTCTCAACCAAAACAAACTGGAAGTACATTCATTGGAGCAGCTTGTAGTTCATTCAAACACTGCTAGATGGCACTTGAAAACCTAAAAGTTGAAGCAGAAAAATCAGACCTTTAATATTTCTTGAATATACAAAAACAACCCTATATTCAGATTAGTTAATACAAGGAAGATTTGCATGACTTAATTTTGATTCCTAATTTAAAAATTATTTTGATATTAAAAATGTAATAATTAATACACTCATGGAAAGGGTTCCTAGCATCAGGGAAAACAGTCATAACCTCAAAATCAAATTTATTGAAGAAAGCTACTGAAATTATTGCATTATAATGTCAGCTATGATAAGCATTAAAGACTTTAAGCTTGATTACAACTGAGAACTAATCCATGTTGGGCTTTAGATGCTTAAAAGGAAATTAAAAATACAGCACAAAATGATTTTGTAGCGATTGTAATGAGGTCAGCCAGGTGGACCTCATAGAACTTGAGTTCTCTGACTGGGGCTGTTAACCTGGTCTAATCAGGGACCCCTGGTTGACAGATATAAATAGGAGTGTCAGAAGTTCTGTTCACTCTGAAAGCTGGCTCTGAGGAGTCTGGACTAGTGTCAAGTACTACACATGTGTAAACAAAGGGTGACTTGGTGACAGGATATCAGCTTCTGTGGAGTTATTTCAATGGCGATGAGAGTAAGATTAATGATGTAACAATGCAAAAGCGCCTACAAGCTGAAGCCCAACTGGACTTCAAATAGGCACTACAAATGGCTTTGTCATTAGAAATATGGCAAGTGGAGCATATGAGTTACAGGGTATGCTGATGGAAGTGGACACCCTCACCAGGCTGACTGAGCTTGGGGGATGCCACTTGAGTAAAGGTTATTACATAGCCTCACTCAGGACATATCCTCGACAGAGAAACTCTAGGTCAGCCCACAGCAAAACCCCAAAACAAAGCCAAGGCTCAGCCAAATGGTTAACATTTTCATTAGGATCTGGGCCGACAAGCCTGCAGGCTGGTAGTTGTTACTGGTATGTGGACTCGAGATAGCAAAAGAGTCCCACTAGGCCTGAATTGAGTAAGAGAACTCATAGGCTGGTATCCAGGAGAGTGCACACCCTGGAATGCCCACTAATACTTGCCTTGGAACAGTTAAATTGTTTAGCAACATCCTGGAGCAGGTAGGACTAAAGTCCAATGCAGAAGACGGGACACTAAACCACGAGATGTTCTTTTGAACTCAGGGTCTCTTGTTTACTAGATAG